CGGGGTAGGGGGTGGACCCTCCTTCTTCCTTCTAAGGGCACAACCTGGAAATTGAACACATTCTTTCCATTTGTATGCCATTGGCCAGGATTTAGTCACATGGCGTACTTATCAGGAAGGGAATTTGGAAAATGGCTTTGGCCACGTGTGAAAGAGAGGATGGACATTGAGGGACAATCTGCAATTTTTGTCATAGCTGCTGATTTCCCTAGGCAACTCACACTCCCATCTGAGCCACGGTTTTTTATTTGCAAATTCATTCATTCATTCACATATTATACACACACACACAGGTATACATATAAAATACGTATACACAGGTGTGTGTGTATATATATAAAATATATATACACACAGGCATATATGTAAAATATATACACACAGGTATATGTATTAAATATAAACAGGTATATAAAATATGTACTCATAGGTAATATATAAAATATATATGCACACAGGTATATATAAAAATATATATAATATATACACACAGATACATATAAAATATATATTCACAGGTTTATATATTAAATATACACAGGTATATACATATAAAATTTATACACATAGGTTCTATGTATAAAATATATATATGTATATATATACACACATAGGTATATACACCTATAAAAATATGTACAGACAGGTATATATATAATGTATATTCACACACATATATAAATATGTGTGTGTGTGTGTGTGTGTGTGTGTGTGTGTATATATATATATATATATATATACAAACATAAGTATAGGTATATAAAATATGTATCCACACAGGTATATACATATAAAATATATTTTCACACACACACACACAGATATATATGTAATTTATACACACACATACATGTGTATATATTTTACATATTTACATATACACATGTGTATATATTTTACATATTTACATATGATACATATGTAAAATATATATACATATAAGTGTGTATGTGTGTGTGTCTGTGTGTATATGTGTTTGCCAGGCTTGTGATACAAAGTGAGATTTTCAAACTAGTTGATTGCTAACAGATCCTCTTACTAGCTGAGCCGTAAGCCCCAAGAGGTCAACTGTGAGGTCTTTCTTACTCACCACTGTCCCCCCAGCATGCATTGCAGGGTCTGGCACATGCAAGCCATAGTATTGGCTGTCCATGGATGATGAATGGATGGCCATTCTGGTTCTTGTATTTGGTGGTAACATTTTTCCTCACTGGGGGGTTTTAGTTCGTTGCCTTTCCAGGCCTCCTGGCTCCGCCTCCCCTCATTTCCATCTGCCAAGTCTTTCTGAGCCTGTGAGGTAAAATGGGCTCTGAGCCAGAATCCTAAGAGTAAGATTAAAAATAAATGAAAATGAATCAAAACAAGTTAACCACAAGAAATGGCTTTCCAGGCTAATTAGGCATCAGCGCTGGAGGCCAAGGACAGAATGCCAGACTCCAATTGCCAAGCACTGCTGTCAATACCACTGCTATGTAGGGCAGAGAGTATGCTGGGCCTGGCTGGAGCCCCTGTGTGGCCCTCCACCACAGGCAAGACCCTCCCCACACAGGCCAGGCAGAAAGGTTTTAATTCCAACTTTTCTGCTTACCTGTTGGAGTGATCCCAGGGAAATTCATGCCTCTCTCAGGCTCAGTTTCTTCATCTGTAAAAAGTTGTTAATGATAGGACCTACCTGCAATCATCTATAAAATGCAGATAATGATGATTCCTATCACATCAGCAGAGATTCCCAAACTTTTGCAGTTCATGACAGCCTTAGCATCTTAGTTTTCCACAGTGTTCCAGGCCCATAGAAATACCTACCAGTTGTTTATCAAGTAGTTGGTTTTAAACAACTTAATAAAAATTGTTGGCCCAGTATCTGACAGATGTCACTGTGTTTCCCTCAAAATTTTCAATATTTTTCAGTGCCTCTGGAGCTTTCTACAGTGCCTGGGAGTGCCTCAGCACACAGTTTGGGAACTGCAGTTATAGGGTTTTTAAAGATGAAATGAGGTAATGTATGTCTAGGGCTTGGTGAGATGCCTGGTATGGAGTAGGAGATCAATGAATGCTGGTTGTCCTAAATTACCCTTCATGTCTCATTCTGAGATCACTTTCTATCTAGTTCTTTCTATGCCCAGCAACAAGCCTTGCTGCCTCCTGCTCTTGTCCCCTCTTGGTTTCTGCATGCCACCTTCCCTCTGGGCACCTCCAGGCTTGGTCCCACTTCTGATGTAGTGTTGTCTCCTGGTGTAGAATTTTTGGTCCCACCGCTTCACTCCCCTAGCTACACACCTGCCATGATCTCTTCGGAGTGGAGGGTACATCTTTGCTCTTAGCTTTGGGCTTACCATGTGACTCGTTTTGCCCAATGACACATGGCAGAAGTGATAGTGTGACAGTTCTCGAGAGGCCTTGAGTGTTTCCACTTGCTTTGCCACTGCCAAGAGATGAACGCTCCCCAGAAGCCCTGTGATTCCAGGAGGAGGCCAGCAGAGCAGACTCAGAACTGCAGACAGATCCACAGCCTGAAGTCAACCATCCAGCCAGCCCACAAACCCATGAGTGAAAAGAAATTATTATCGTAGGAAAGTATGGAGTTTCAGGGAGGCTTGTACACAGCATTCCTGTGACCATCCACCCTCTCTCTGTGGCGAATTCAAAGTCTCTGAGAGCGGGTGACATTGGATCATTTGGTTACCACCCACAACACAACTCCTCAGATACCAGTCTTCTACAAGCTACTGCACTCCCTCTTGCCCAGACTGTAGATGGCTGCCTTGGGCCAGGGCACTCAGCTCTGCTCCAGGCAGTTGTCCCACGATTACAGGGCCATGTGACACAAAGCCCGGCCAACCAGGAATCATTTCTGGCCCCTTGTATTCGGAAGGGGATGCAAATGTGGCAGACACCCTCTGTGTTTCTGACGAGTGGCAACTGAACCAGTAGAAACTGCACCCAAAATTGCGTCTGCATGTGGCGATCGAAATGCATCCCAGGCTACTAAACTTCAGGATACAAGACATGTGACGTTCCTTACAACTCAGTGAGCCTCCTTGTGCCTTTAAGGGAACGATGAGGCCCAAGTTCACACAGAAAGTTAGGTGGAACTGGAGTTAGAACCCCAGTGTCCGGACTCACTGCACGGTGGCCCTTTTCCTGCCGGGTGGGTTTTACATTTGGAAGGAACCTCTGGTCCCACCTCCAAGCCGGTGGAGTCCCTTCTTCAGGCTCTCTGATCATCCAGGCTCGGCCTCTGCACTGCACTGCACTAAGTGCCTACTGCTGGGAAGAACCCTAAGAACCTTTGTTAGGTCACACTTCCAGGGGGGCTTCCAGAATGTTAGATCAGGCCCTCTGGGGGTGTGGGTGTCTGGTGTGCAATCCAGTGCTGTGTGAAAGATGCAAAGAATTGCACAGAAGTTAGATTAGAAAATATAGTTTATTTAGAAAGTAACTAGGGAGAGAATACAGAAAGAGAGAGGAGATTCCCTTCCCCAAGGGAGGGGAGAAGGCCAAAGCTTAAGAAACATGGTGGCGGCCATAGCTCAAAGAATACATGGCCACACCAGAGTCTAGTAAGGTAACAGCGAATGCCTGCCCGTGATTGAGTCCCTTTAATCCTTCCCTTGGATGGGGAAAGGTCATTAAGGTGATTGGGTGGTGGTCTGTTCCATGTCATCACGAAGGGGCCAGGTAAGCACAGGTACTGACATCAGGTGATGGACTGCAGGCAGATGGGTGGGTTAGTGGCATGATTGTTGCCACGGTAGTGGGGTCTGTCTGTCACATAGGTCACGAAGGGCTGATTAGGTTAACTTGGGTCTTGTGGGTGAAGGCAAATACTTGAAATAAAAAAGCTAATTAGTAACATACTGGGGAGGGCGTTGTAAAGCAGCTATCACTAGCTACCTCTGAGAAACTGGTTTTGTCCTTGGCTTGTGATTAGAGGGTAAGTGAATTGCTAGAAAAATGTGAGATTTAGGCAATATTAAAATGGCTGCCCATCGGGTATATTAAATCCATGTTATGTTCTTTCAACCTCCTCCCTCTTAGCCTCCAGTCACCTCCTGGGTCCTGTACCCACCCCTGCCGTGGTTGTCTTCTGGGGCTACAATACATATACACTCTTTGATTTATAAACACTGTACTTCTTATTTCTATAAATTTTATTGAGTTCTTTTAAAAATATGCCTTCTTAAATAGTGTCTTTTTTGTATGATTCCAATTCTTTCCTGTATGCCTTTAATTCTTTTCAGAGTACTTTCATGATCTTCACCTGAAATTCTTGGGGAAAGAGGGGTCTTATCCTGAGATAGAGGGTATCTGCTGACGCTCACTTATGGTGGATGGGTCCCTTGTGTGTTTTGTCATTTTGGATTATTCGTCTTCGGGGGAACTTTATCCACAGATATTTTGTGTAGCCGGAATTGAGGGCAAGTCCTGCTAAAATGTGTTGGGTTTGTTTTGCCTGAAATTTTCCATCTTCATCTGGGGTCACTGTGCTAATTCTTGGTTTGGGATTCCTAGTTCATGTGGATAGAATACATTTATATTTAAAGGCCTGTGTTAGAAAAGATTCTATATATTTTTATTACTGCATTAATTTGATTCTCGTTTTTTTCCATTCACTACTAGGAAGTTAGCTCCAGGAAAGCAGGGTCTTTGTCCCTCTGATTTGGGACAATATCCCCAGGGCCTAGAGCAGAACTTGACACACAGTAGACAATAAGTATTTGGTGAAAGAGAGAGTTAGAGAATAGCCACTTCACAGTGTGGGGTGAAGAATAAGTCAGTGTCCCTTAGGACTGTGCTTGCCTGCAAGTAGCAGCGAGCTGGCAAGATGGTCACTATACTTCCAGGCATCAGTTCCACATCCAAGGCAGAAGGAAGGGGGAGGAAGTAGGAGCAAAGGGGGAACAGCAGTGACATTTTCCCTTTTGTTAGGAAGGTAAACATTTCGCTTGAAGCCCACCAGCAAATTCCTGCTTTGATCTCATCTGCTGGAAATGGGCCCCATGGGCATTAAAGAAACAAGGGAATTCAGAGAGTGAGCATTTTTCTTTACCTAGACTTTATAGATAAGTAAGGGAGAAAGGGGACTGGGACACAGGCGGGGTATCTGCCCCAAATGAGTTGTCCACATGCCTTATATGGAAAGCGCAAAACAAGCCCTCAGAAAGGGGCGCCTATTTCATAATAACCGTTCTTGTTACCACTTAAAGCTTTAAAGTCTCTGAAATCCTGTTGGTGTCAGATCTTCTTGGCTTCTGGAACCAGCAGGCACCGAGGTACCCAGACCCCTAATGGTCTCCCTCCTTCTTTATTCTTTTCAGAGCACTAAAGCCCTTTAAAAAAAAAAAAACCAAATTACATTTTTCAGTGTGAGTTACTTCCTGCTCTCATTAACTTCATTTTCAATGATTCAGCCAGAACTTGCTACCAGCCTGAAGGAGGCAGAGAACTGTACAAGTCAAAGATCCCACAGGCCCATAACCAGGTCAGTGTCAAGGCTACTCAGTCAAGGACATTGAGATGAAAACAGCCGAAGAGCCAACCCCGAATCTTGGGCAGACCCTGGAGTGGCTGAGAAAGGAGCTGGTAAGGTTTTGCATGTCTTTTTCCTTGAAGCCCCCATGACATGTTTTCCAGGGCTCTCTGGCTCCTGCTCCCAAGTGGCCCCCTAAGCCGGGGCAGAGGCTGCAGGTTGGGGTATAGGCCCTGCAGCCTCCCCTCTGGGACCAGCCACACAATGCCCAGTTGTGATCTCAGGTGTGGGGATAAGTAGGTCATGGCCTACATAGGAGGCGCTGGGTGTGGTGCTGGCCAGACTGGTTTTAAAATTGCAGTGTCCTGGGTATGTGCCCAGCTCTGCTGCTGAGTGGCCACTAGCGGTGGCTTTACCTCTTTGAGTCTCCGTCACCTCATCACAAAATGGGAATAATAATAATACCAGCATAGCAAGGGTTGTTTGTAAGGATTGAGTGAGAAGATACTTGTAATTCCCTTAGTATATCTTGGCAAATTGATGTTGGCGAGACATGGAATACATCCACTTTCTTAGCCTGGGTTCCCTAGAAGGCAGAGGCTCAGGCAATGATTGGGGAACTAGTGATTTATTTGGAGATGCAGGGGATCTAGGCCCAGCGTGGTGCAAGGAAAGAAAATAGGGAGTTGCAGCAAAGGCCAATGCTGTGCCAGGCAGTTATGCCAGGTATTGTGATACCAAGCTGCCACTGCTGCAGAAGAGGCCTTATGGGCACCCAGCTGGTCTCCCAGCATCTGGTGTACCTGCCACAGGACTTATCTGCAGGGGTTGAAGGAGGAACTTCCCCTTGAGGGAGAGAGAACAAAGAGGAAATTTACCTGCCCTGCTGGGTTCTGTCTGTGGGTAAGGTCTACCCCTTGGGGCACTGACGCTCCTGGACACTTGGCTCTGTGGCGGCTGCTCAGGAAGTTAGACTTTATGCCTTTCACGGTGGTGTTTGCACCAAGTCCAAAAACAGCGGGATGCTCCAAAGAGTGTGGGGACCCATCCAAGAGAAAGAAGGAGGCAGTTCGAGGAATCTGAGATGGGCTCTGTTTCCCAAGACACCCACTTCCCATTCTGGGGAAACAGACAGGATTGTCTAAAAATGACCTGTCTGGGTTGCCAGGCAACAGCTAACCCTGTCTTCACCTCAGAGGGAGGGACTGACCCGGTGAGGCTTCTCGTGGGACCAAGGGATTCCTGCAGCTTCTCACAGTTCACGGGCTTCTGGAACGGGGAAACCAGCCTTCCCCGTGTTCCCCTTGGGAGTGGGTGCTTGGGCACCTTCACATTGCCTCAGTGTGGGTGCCCATCATGATCTCATGAGCACGTACCCGGAGCTGGGGCTGGAGACCGGACAAAAGGACGTGTGGGGGAAACCCCAAGACTAAGAAAACAAAGACTGAACGCTTTCTGAGGAATTAGGCAGAGATGGCCCAGGACCACTGGCTTTGTGGTCTGTGGGGTCCTGGTGTTTCCAGGGAGGCAGTCTGCACCTTCACGCTTCCTCTTTCTAACTCTCTACTCTCCTGGCAACATTGTTAATGTTGAGCGGAAGACGCAGATGTGACTTCTCATTTGTAAAGTAATTAATTTGTCACAAAAAATTAAAGTACTATTTTCGGGCCTGACTTAGTGGCTCATGCCTGCAATCCCACCACTTTGGGAAGCCAAGGTAAGAGGATTGCTTGAGGTCAGAGTTCAAAACCAGCCTGGGCAACACAGCGAGACAGTCACTAAAAAAAAAAAAAAAATAGCCAGGGTGATGCGTGCCTGTGGTCCTAGCTACTCAGGAGGCTGAGGGAGCACTGGAGCCCAGGAGTTCAAGACTACCGTGAGCTATGATTGTGCTACTTACTGCACTCCAGCCTGGGCAACAGAGTGAGACCTGTCTCTAAAAAAAAATAAATTAATTAGTTAAAATACTGTTTGAATGGAGAAATAATGTTAATAAGTATCTTCTGTAAAGAGAAACAGAGTGGTTGAGATTTGTATATCCAATCACGTGCCACCTTGACCAGCTTTGGAGGGGAAAACTGGGAACTTTTCATGACGGCTGCCTCTGGGGAAGGACACGTGAGTTGTGGAACAGAGTGGGGTAGGGTGAGAGACCCTTTGTAATAAGAAACTCAATGCATGTTAATAAAATATTATTTACTTGAAATAGCTATTTTTCAAAGCAAATATTTCGTGAGAAAAGCAGCACTGTTTTACATTGTTGCAAATGTCTTTAGTGTCTGGCTTCGTGGAACATAGCTGATTCTCATATCAGCTTCTGCATTCAGTCTGTTGAGATATTACATGTCATTAGCTTCTGGAAAACTCCACCATATTCTCATAAGAAAATGAAATTGAAAGGAAACAATATCTCAGTACTGGAATGAAAGTAGTTTTGGCTGGGCGCGGTGGCTCAAGCCTGTAATCCCAGCACTTTGGGAGGCTGAGGTGAGAGGATTGCCTGGGTCCAGGGGCTCGAGATCAGCCTGGGCAACTTGGCGAGACCTCGTCTCTATACAATAAATCAAAAAATACAGGCATGTTGTCATGTGCCTGTAGTTCCAGCTATTTGGAAGGTTGAGACAGAAGAATCACCTGAGACCAGCAGGTTGAGGCTGGGATGGCTGTGAGCATGCCACTGCACTCCCACCTGGGCGACAGAGTGAGACTCCGACTCAAAAAAAAGAAAGTAGTTTTGACTTCACTGACCGCTGAAAGGTTTTCCAGTGGGCTAATGCCTCAGTGGCATAAAAGCCTTGAAAGGTGAGCGATTTACTTCCTCTTGTGTAGGGGAAGCAACGGAGGCTTTGGTGGACGTGGCCTCCGCGAGGTTGTGCAACACACAGGTGGGTCTGCCACTGAGACAGCAGTGGGCAGAGGCTCTCTGGGGCACATCCCTCACGGAATATTTCTCTCTCCTAGTCTGAGATGCAGATTCAAGACCAGAGACTCCTACTCACACTGAAGCACCTGCATAGTGTCCTGGAGGAGCTGCGTGTGGAGAGCGCCCCCTGGGAGGATGCCAGGTCCAGCGGAGGGACATCCCCCATCAGAGCACGTGTGGGCTCTGAAGGCAGGGGCTGCCAGCCTGTCTGCTCGAGGAGGCTGGCCCAGGTCCTCCAAGGGGAAGACAGCAGAAGAAGCTCCCTCCCTTAACTGGCCGGGGGACAACACCAGACTTGACCCCTCTCACCATGAGTCTAACCTTTGACTGTGATGTTTTGGGGGAACAGCATTGGAAGGGAAGTCAGGAAGCCAGAGCCGTGGGTTTACCTCTGCCCTCATCTGCTGGTGTCCCTGGATCCTGAGTCTCTGTTCAACCTGTGTCTCTGTTTTCTTTCTGTCCTTAGGGGTTTCTTTCCAAGGCACAAATAAGGTATTGGATGTGAACATGCTTTGAAAACACAGATATGCCACGGGGCTCTGGCAAGCACCATGGCAATAATTCTATCCTTAAGAATGTCTCACAAGGCAATTGTCAAAAGAAGGAACAAGCTGGATGTGCAATGATGGTTAGCAAGTGTTGCCATGATGGACCATCAAAACCCTTTGTAGTGACTTCATGGCTGTTTTCTGTCTTTCCACAAGACTTCCCATTATCCTTCATCTGATAACAACAGGCCTTATTGCCACCCTGGTCATAGGGATGAGTAGGCCTGACCAATTATACAATTCATACTTTCCCTAAAAGCATGATTGGCCCAATGGGTGGATGTGTGACTTAACAGAGCCAATCACAGTCCTTCCCTGGGATTGCTATCTGAGTGCTCTTTCTACAACAGTTACAAAGCTGAGGCTACTGGTGGCTATGTTTCCTGTTGGGTAAAGATTTATCTGCAGTAGGAAAGAAAGAGGCTAATATTCAAAGAGAAGTAGAGAGAGGGCCACACAATAGAGAAGAGTGCTGGCTCTTTTTAGTCCCTGCTTTTGGGCTCTAGTGTGTGAGTTACCTCCTGCGTTCTTTCCACGAACTAGACCCAGTCAAGTCCACCAACATCACCCACAGCCACACACACAAATTTGTTTTGCTTAAGCTGATTTGAGCAGGATTTCCCTCATTTGCAACCAAAATGGTCCCAAGGGATACAATCTAGATGTTCAAAGAACGAAAGAAGAGAAATTGTTAAGAAAATGCCATGTCCTGCATTCAGGGTTTGTGACAACACCCTCTGGACAGCAGGCAACAAGGCTCATGACACAGCAGAGACACTCCATGGTATGGGGTGCTTACTGGAAAATTGCATCTGCATAAAAGGAAGACTGAAACAGAAAAGGTGAAAACAAAAAAGCCATGGTGTTAAGATGGTCTGTTATTGGTAGGCCTTCTTGTTTTTGAAAATCTTCCTGTATGTGTTAGAATATCATTTTTTGTGGCTTTGAAAAAGTAAATTGATTGCACACAGAGGCAGAGGGGGAGGGGTGCATTATAAGTACAATGTTTGAAGTCAGAGAAACCTGGGGTTTTTATATAATATTTGACAATATGCAAAATACCTGTTCTATGATGCTGGGTTTGGGTCCCAACAAACCACATTTCCGTGTTGCCAGCTGCTCCCTGTTAGACCTTGTTAGACTTTGCCAATAAGCAGGGTGGAGTCATATTACAAGACTCCAGGAGACAAAGGGGACTTGCTCCTTCTCCTTTGTCCCTGTCACTTCCTGTGGCCTTCCTGTTCCCATAAGCATCACCTGGCAATGCTACTTCTCCTTCCAGGGCACCAGCCTTCCCCAGGGTCTAGGTCCCATCCCCGGGGGGCCTCTCTCTTGAGCTCAGAGGCCCCAGACCCAGCTGAGCTGAGCTCCTTTCTCAGATAACTGAATTTAGGGTCTACAGGGCTCCTCCTCTATGTGTATGTTTTAATAGTTTCTGCTTCTTTTCTTTGTTCCCTCAGCCCTGGGGGTGGTAGATGCTTCCTGCAATTGCCACCTTAGAGTTATTTTTATAACCTGTCAGTCACCCAGTTAACAACCTATACCTAGTTAACAATTCTTTATGCTAAATGATCTGTGTTAGCGTGACTGGTGTTGTTTCTGTCTCTTACCTGTTGCAGTGTAATTATCAATGGCACTGTATTATTATTATTGCTATAATTATTATTGCTATTATTATTGCTATAACTATTATTGCTATTGCTATTATCTCCAATGATACTGTTCAGGTCTCCTGGTACACCATCACAAGAGTTTCTCTAGAATACAACTAAGAGTTATGTCGATGTGAACATGCACTAGAAACAGATTTTCCAAAGTGTGTCTTTCATTTACCCCCACAAGGAGTGTGTAAGATTCCTGTTTCTCCACATCTTGCTAATGCTTAGTATTATTAATCTTCTTAATGATTACTTTTTTAGTTTTGTAAAGACAAGGTCTTGCTATGTTGCCCAGGCTGGTCTCAGACTCTTGGATTCAAGCAATCCTCTTGCCTCGGCCTTCCAAGTGCTGGGATTACAGGCATAAACCACCGGACCCAGTCAATCTTCTTAACTTTTAATAATATAACGGGCACAAAATGGTATTAGACTATGATCGTTAGCCATATGATCCTGATTACTAATGTGGTTGTTAACCTGAGTATTAATTCCAGTTCTGGCACTTATTTACTTTTCGATCTTGGATAAGTTGCTCAGCTTCCCTGAACCTCAGTTACCTCATCTGTAAAACAGGGGATAATAATGGCACCTACTCACAGGATTATAGTGCAGATTGCATGGGATAATGCATATAAATCACTTTACACAAAGATTGGTTCTAGAAAGGCTATTAAGTGGCAGCTCCTTATTTTTGCTGCATGATTATAAACTGATTTGTGAAACTGACTATTATGAATGGACAAGCTTGTTAGCCACCATCATCTTGAGAGATATCTGCCTGGTCATGCAAAATAGAAATGACATTGGTCTCCCATGCCCAATGCCAACCACTAGCACCCCCTGCCTCTCCCGCTTCCCACAGCTGGGCCCAAGGATCTCAAGCCCCTACCAACCCCCAGACCTTCCATCTGGAAAGGCAGATCTAAAGCCCTTGAGCCTGCCCCCTATGGGATAGTCATTATTCTCTAAGACCCCACTTCTGGAACCAATGTTCAGCTCTTGATCCCAGGTCACAACAACAAGCCCAGACTGAGCCTGGATACTGGGGCACAGGAGTTGGGGTGGAAGTAACATCCTCAACGTGGGTCTTAGAGGGCTGGGTTGGAAATCACCCAGGACAGACAGTGAGCACCAGAGGGAGGATATGGATCATGGCTTCAGAGAGAAAAACTCAGGGTTCCCTCTGCTAAGGCAGCAAAATCAGCACTATACTCCCAAGCCTGGCATCCAGGATGGGGGAGGAGAGGACACAGTCAGGAAAAGGATTAGTGAGTCCAAAGCTAAAAACTTAGGAGTGAGCACAGCTCCCCGTGTGGAGCCTAGAGTGGTCAGGGCAGGACTCACACTGTGGCTGATGAGAAGTGACCAACGCCTTAGCATGAAGCTGTTTCCAGTCCTGGGCTGGCCGTGACAGGGTACAGAGTCCATGTGCTGTGGAGTATACTGGTATAACACACGGCTTTCAAACCTACAACAACAACAACCACTTTATTACTACAGCAGCCATTTGTTATTGTCGTAAATCATGTTTCCCACATTTCCAGGCTCGACAGAGGGGCTCTTGCTTGAGATCTCTCAAGTGGCTGCAGTCAGAGTGTGGCTGTGGCAAGATTTATCTCAAGGCTTGTCCACTCTCAGGTCTGGAGTTGACACCGGCTGCTGCCTGGAACCCTAGCTGAGGCTGTCAGCTCAGGTCACCTCACCCAACCCCCGAGGTGACTGGGCTTCCTCACAGCACTGTGACTGGGGGAGGGTTTTACTTTCTAGACTACTTTCTGCATCCTTTCAGGTTCACTTCCACAGGTAAAGATTGTGCTCTTCTGCTATGTCTTTAAGTCAAAGACCATAGAGCAAGAATCTGATTGGTCAGCTCAACTTCTGCTTCCCAGACACCCCACAGGTTGTTGGCATGAGGTGGGTTTATTTTCTCCTCCTCCTCTCTCCTCCTCCTCCTCCTTTCGTGTCTTTTCCTCCTCCCCCTCCTCCTCCTTCCACATCTTCTCCCTCCTCCTCTTCCTTCCACTCTTCTCTTTCCTCCTCTTTTTCATCATAATCAAAAGATAAGTGATGTAATATATTAATTAAAAGTGGGGGCTTGGCCAGGTGCGGTGGCTCAGCCTATAACCCCAGCACTTTGGGAGGCCAAGGCGAGAGGATTGCCTGAGCCCAGGGGTTTGAAACCAGCCTGGGCAACTTGGTGAGACCTCGTCTCTACAATAAATCATAAAGTTAGACAGGTGTGGTAGCACGCATGCCTGTAGTTCTGGCTACTTGGAAGGCTGAGGTGGAAGGATGGCCGGAGCCCAGCAGGTCGAGGCTGCGGTGGCTGTGAGTGTGCCACTGCACTTATAGCCTGGGCGGCAGAGTGAGACTCTAACTAAAAAAGATAAAAACAAAATAAAATAAAAATGAGGGCTTTGGCACCAGGCTACCTGGGTTTGAATGCCCGGCCTGCTACTTACCAGCTCTGTGACCTTGAGCAAATAACGTAACTTTTCTGTGCTTCAGTTTATTGCTCTATAAAGTGGAGATAATAACAGAAATTACCTCATGGGCTAGTGAGCAAATGCAATGAGTCAACATGATCCTGGCACATAAGAAGTGTCCAGTAAACCTTAGCTATTATTATTACTAATGATTATTACTAACTACCATTATTTAAGTCAGGATAGTTTAGTGGTTATACGTGCAGCCTGAAGCCTAATTGCCTATGTTCAAATCCCAGCTCTACAACCTAATTGTGTGGGTTTGGGAAAGCCATTAAACTCTCTGTGTCTCAGTTTTGTCATCTGAGGAATGGGAATAATAGTCTTACCTACCTCCTGGGGTTGTTGTGAGGAATAGATGAAGTAATAAATATAAAATGCCACAGTGCCTGTCATCCAACAAGGGTCATGTATGTGGCACATAAACTATTTGCTATCCATAACAATTATCTTCAATTACCAGCACCATACTAAGCACTGCACAGATCTTGTTGCACTGAACCCACCGACCCTTTGCAAGGGTAATAGTCTATCTCCATTTAATGGATGAAGAAACTGAGGTTTAGTGGGCCTAAACGGC